AGAATACTACAGAATGGACAAGCTTCAAATATTGCAGAGGTGAAATTCAAATTAAATAAAAATAGTTTAATTATTAATATTAATTATGATAATTTATTTTGTTTAATAGCAAATATTTGTTGAATTAAGTGACTTATTTAGTTTGGGTCGCCAGTATCATCCTTAAACATGTCATTTCATTGTTGAGTTTAGTTAAGGTCGCCTGGTCCTGTTACGCGGTTACCAGGTTCAAATACAACAGAAAAACGCCAGACTATCACATGCATTTGTGTGGGATGTGTCGTTTAGCACGTATTCGTTTACGCAGCTTGTGTGTTGTTGATTCTTCTCAAAATCTAGAAAGAGCTCTAAACCTATACAGATCTGCTTCATATACAAATGTAAAATTGTTTCAAAACTGAAAACTGTAATATAACAATAGAAAATAATAGGAAAAAAAAATCAATATTACGCTAATGACGATGTATTGCAAATATATACATCTAAAATATAACATAGAATGTAATATAAAATGTATGTTATGTTCTATAAACATGATTGCAAATAAATATCTCCAATCACAGAAATCGTCAATGAGGCTTGACCTGAAGTAGAACAGAGCTGGAAAATTATTTCAAAGAGAAATTGTGTGTTCGAATTGCTTTCTGATAATACCATCCAAAATACATCCAAAATTACACCTACATCCAAAATTACATTCAAACGAAAAACTGTATAAAATTTAATTTAGATAAATATAAATTAACTTTTTTTGTCAACCCAAAAATTATTCAGAATTATCAAGACAATGTTCTTTCGTTTGTGAATATTTTATCTATTCGTAATAAAAATATTTTTTAATATTTCATTTGAGTAACTCGAGTGCGTAAGTTTATTAAAATATATTTCTAACTTTTTATTGAGCCAGTACATTTTTCTAACCTCAAAAGATGAAATATTAAAATCATTTATCGCAGTTTCAAAATATTCCTGTCTTAATTTTGTCATTTTCATTTCAAGTTTCAATTGTAAACAATCTTCTCCAGGCTCTGAGTCCTGGAAAATTTCTTAAGAAATGGGAAAAAAGATTAACGCTGCTGAGATGTGGTTTTTGAGAAGAATTATGAAAATCAGTTGGACCTCTCATACTTCGAATGACGATGTATTGAAACTGTCCGGTTATGAAAAGAGGAAATTACTATAGATAATCCGACGGGGGTAATTAAAATTTTTTGGTCACATCATGCGGAAGGAAAGAATGGAGAATCTAACAACTACTGGAAAGATCGCAGAGAGAAGAGATCGCGGTCAACAACGAATAACATTCGTGAAGTCCTTGTGTCACTTGTTGAATATCACCACATTTCAACTCTTGCAAAGTGTTCAAGATCGGGTTTTGTGGAGGTCGATGGTCGCCAATGTCATTTTTGAATAAGGCACGAGAAAAAAAGAAAGAAACAATTCTAGTTCGTCTTTATTTGAAAAAAAACGAAAAATGAAAAATTGCTATAAAATTGTTATTAAAGGATTTGAAAAGATTACACTGCTCTTGTAATAACCCAACTTCAAATGACATTAGAGCGGAGCGAGTTTTAACAACCTGAAACTGTTTTTTTCCAAATTATCACAAAAATGGTAATAATTATTAATAATAATTAATTATAATAATTAATTATAATAATTAATTATAATAATTAATATATATTTATATAGTCTAGAAAATTAGGTGTTTTTCAAGTGGCAATTTTGAAAATTTTTAAGATACTTTATGAGAATTTTTATTAGTTACAAATACTCACATTGTATATGTTTGTTAGTTTGTGTGTGTGCGTGTGCGTGTGTGTACTATGATATGTGTATATGTACAATGATGTATGTAGTATGTGTTTGTGTGTGTGTGTGTGTGTGGTGTGTGTACTGAGATGTTTGTGTATGTGCTATGATGTGGGTAGTACTTACGTATGTATGTGTGCGTGTGTGTGTGTGTGCATGTGTGCGTGAGTGTGTGCGTGCGTGTACTGTGAACTAAATGATGTGTGCGTTTGCACTACCATCTGATGTGAATTTGTTGCGTAGTATCAAAAGTAATACTACACATACTGTATAGTGTATCACCATGACGACTATTAAGGTGCCTGACAATAGTGTTGCATTGAGTGGATTCAATTGCAATGAAATCATTTCCTATCGCATGCATTATGTGTACTGCTTGAATTCACACCTATTTACACGTGTGAGGAATACTTTTAAAGAATGCATAAAAAGTGAGTTATGGAGATATAGGGATTTATTCCCCATTCTAAAAATTATTCTAAATAAATACGTTCAGTTTTATCGTCATCGTTGAATTAGCGTTGTGTGTTTTGATTTAATATATACATATATAGTTATATAATTTTTGTGTTTGGTCTAACCCAGCTCACTTGAGAAGAATTATTTGCTTTGCTACTTCAAATAATATTATGTGCATAATTGCATCGACATCACGTAGGTAGGTGTATTTGTTTGAGGATTCACTGTTGTGAAAATGATAACATAAACATTTAGTATAATTATAAATTTCAAAGAAAAAATTTTTCAACTACATTTGTTTGTGTGGATGGTTTTAAAAAATTCACACCTCTCTTGAACACTCGAGTTTTGTGAATTATAAATCAAATCTTCAGGGTTGTTATGAAGCTTTTCGGATTGATAAAAACTAAAAAAATTTTCTGTGATAATTCAATCGAGTTATCTTTTACTTGAATAAACGTGAAATAACTAAAAAATATCTAAATAATGAAGTATTGCGTTGCTCTTAGATCTTTTATCCAACTCGTAACCTTTCTCAGCATATGCAACGTAGTGTATAGTTTAGACCTTACAAGAGAGCCCAAAAAAATTAGCTTGGACGTTTTGGACGCTGTTGTTTCACAAATTCAAGCATCTCAGATTTTTTCAAATGATAGACTTTTCTTGAAAAAAATTGCCTTCGAAAGATCCGTGTTTGGTAGAACGGATAAAATTTTTAGAGCATCTAGAACCGGATTATGGCAGGTTTGACAATTATTTTATATCAAATGAATTGAAATTTTAAACTTATATTTTTTGTGACCGATTTCAGATTAGTGAAGAAATACTGAACGGAACCAAAATTAATTTTCCAAAATATTTTCCCATTTTGTATTCAGAAGTTAAACTCAAATTTGGAATTGACTGGTCTAATGTACTGTATGAGGATTTGGACAAAGCGTTGCACAACGGTCTAGCAGCGCGTATCGCCATCCATTTACGCTACCAAAAACTTCCGATCGATACCGTGAAACAATCAGAAATTTGGTCTACAGTCTTCAGGAATGGCCGAGATGAACTGGAATTCATGAATGGAGCACTTTTCTTCAAAACCGGTAAACAGGATTTTGAGATTCGACGTCTTGCTGGATAAACACTTTTGTAAATAAAACAATGTGATTTCCATACTCCAATTTTAAATGAATAAATAATATTTTAAAAATCTTTCCAAAAATTTAAAGATTGTAGAATGTTATCGGATATCGTCTTCCTAGTCGATGGATCAAATGACGAATCAGGAGGAAAATTATTCTCGACCTTTTTGAAGGCCATCTACAGAATAATGACTGAGACATCAAGATATTCAGATCGTATTGATGGTGACATGAATCGCTTTTCAATTGTACAGTTTAGTGACATAACGGAGGTTAAAAGAAAAATGAAAAAACTTTATTCGTGGTTCGAAGTCCGATACATTATAAACAACATGAAAATTCATAACACAAGTTTGACAAATTTGAATTGGTACAGAGTTTTTTTCATAAAATAAATTGCAAAAATAATTTCACAGGCTCTCGAAACACGTACGATGCCTTTTCCTATTTGCTCAAAAACGACTCCTTCTTGAAGCAAGACATTTTGAGACAACGAATAGCTGTATTGTTTAGCACTGGGAATTCAGGATCACCTGACAAAACTAAAAATCAGTTACAAAAAGTGTTGGATGCTGGCATATCGGTGATAACAATTAATGTCGATGAATCTTTTGAAGTGACCGATATCAACGAAGCGACGCTATTCAGCCGAATAGTTTGGAAAGATTTGGACGAGGAACCATTTGCATATGAAGAAATTAAAGAGAAAATATGCAAAAGTTAGTGGCTTGTTAGTACGGATTGAAACTTCATTAGATAATGAAAATGACTAAAAACGTATGTTTTCAGTACTTGTTCATTCAACATAAATAAACTTCAAACTTACCCTTGATGAAACAATGATATGTCTTAAAAGGTCCATTGATATTGAAGGCAGACAACACAACTCAGAGGGTGAAGATGAACGAAGGAACAAAACTCAACTGCTTGTTGGATGTGAGGAATCCGCCAACACTTCTTGCGGTAAGTAAATCTGACTGGCAAACTACATTTCACTACTCGAATCTCTTATTAACCTTTAACTGAATCATGAATGAGTTATAATTTTATTCAAAAATAACTTTCCACACTCTTAAATCAAGCAACCAATTCAAAATAATTTTCACAAATAAAGCTGGATTCCAACGTGATAACTAAACTCTACCTATCTTCTTCAAACATTTTTCCATCATCCGCATTTCACAATAAAATAATGGAGTCAGAACTTGGAGCTGTGAAAGCGGACACAATCGAGACGCGCGGTAGTGGTTTGAAGTTTTTGCCATGTTCCTTAGAAACATCTGGTGAATACGACACAAAATTCGTGGCTTCAATCAACATCAACAGTCTACCAGGTGTCGATTTCTCAATCAAACTTTATAACTGTACATACACTTTAAAGGATTTTTATTTTTTAAAAGTTACGCTGACATAACCTGATATTTTAATTAAAATTTAATAAGTCACTTTATTTCTTCATTTATTTAATTTAACTTTTTGTAGTAGATCATAAAACAATATAAATTCTCTTTTTACAATTACTTATTGAAATTTTTTTAAATTTTATAAAAATTAAAATGTAAATAATCAGAGAGAAAAATTTTTTGAGGTACGAATCCATGCGATGACAACTGCGTAAACCAAACGTGCGAAAATCAATTTCACGGAGGATATAAGTGTCATTGTTAGATATTATTTTTTAATTTATTTCAAAAATTTAAAAAAACACTTATAGATTTTACGCACGCACGCACACACACACATATATAGATACACATGCACTTACACATACATACACATAAACACACACATATACATAAACACAAACATACGCACAAAACCTGGTACATAGATTAACTCATCTTTATTTTATATACAATATGTATATGAACAAATTTACCAATAGTAATTATTCAACTTGGATTGATTAGAATTTCAAAAGAATTTACTTTAAAAGCTCTATAACTCCGAAACTTCTAATTATTATTTTAATCACACACACGACAGCATTTGACGAATGTCAAAACGGTATGTACCCATGCATTCAGAAAAACACCAGACAGTGTTCCATCACAAACAAAGGAAAGTTAGACTACGAATGCGACTGCCTCGCACAATTCGCCGGACGGAGATGTGAAATGATAAGTAAAAAATTTCATCCTTTAAACACACTACTACTTGGGTTTTGTAATGATTAAAGTGCCCAGTTCTGCTGCTGCTGCTGTGATCATCACAGAATATGAGTGTAGGGTAGGTGTGGGCAAACGCTATTTTAAGCGGCCCGCAAGGCCTTGTTCACCAAAAAAAAGACATTATGACCAAAAAGTGCCACAATTTTTTAAAAAATTCTCTTTCGGGTCGAAAAATTTTGCTATTTAAGTACATATGCGGCCCTTCAAAGATAAAATAGTTCTCAATGCGACCCTCACAACAAAACGTTTGTCCACCTCTTGCGTAGTGTCTGCATTTAAGTGTATTCAAATGAGATGTATAATATTTAATAATTTGGAGATTACCGAGAGCATAGTCATGTTTGTAATAATATTAGCAACCGTAAAATAACAGTTAAAGAAAATTTTAATTTAGAACCTTCCAACGAGCAAGTTATGACTGAACAAAAAATTAAGATAAACTTTTACCACACGTGTAAAACATTTTGCAAGATTACTGCAGAAAAGCCCAGTGCGGCAATCATGGAAACTGCACTAACACGAGGGTGGGTCACAAATGCAATTGTCAAGGTCTGTACACTGGAATTAACTGTAGAGTTTACGGTTCGTTATGGTGATTCTACGTTTTCAAACTATAGCTTTTTGATGCAAAGGTTGTTGAAAATTGCTGCCCATTTGCAGCTGAGGTAGTCTTTTAACGATAGACTCAACAAAACGTAGTTTTTGCATTTCGTATTTATTCCATGGTAACAGGGCTAACAGCGTTGTTTTGGCATAAATGCCATCTTTAAAGCCTAATTTTGTTTGTGTTTTGTTAAATTATTTTTGTTTCAAATTCGCCCCATTAATTATTTCGATTTAGATAAATATATTAATTAATTAATTATATCTTTATATTTTGGTGTGTTTGAGTTTTATACGATTAAAAATGAACGACTTTTCACAAATTTTCAATTTTTCCCTATTGTCAATCTGTATGTAATAAAAAAAACTTCAGACGGTTGGTGCCAACATATCAAATATATTTTCCACTTCATCTGCCTATATTGATCTTTATAACACTAGAAATTTCTCTAATCAGGTTAATTAACTAATTGATTAATAAATAAATAAATTAATTGATCAATTAGTTAATTAATTAATTAATCTGATTAATAAGTTCATCAATCAATCAGATCACTGCCTGAGTAATCCGTGCAAAAACGACGGTGAATGTTCTCTAAACTATTGGTCCTATACCTGCAGATGCAAGCCTCCGTATTCTGGCAGCAACTGCCAAGTTAAAAGTATTTCATTTTAATTTTATCCTGATTAAACAAAAGATATATTTGCGTGATAGATATCTTATCTGCGTGAAAAATATCCTATATGCGAGAAAGATATCCTATCTGCGTAAAAGTTATTCCATTTGCGCGAGAGATATCCTATCTGCGTTAAAGAAATTTTTTAAGGAAACAAAATAGTTTTTTAATGATAGCTGGCTAAAAATAATAGATATACAAAGACGTTTTCATATTGTTTTTCGCTGTCAATAGCTGACTATTCTGATAGATCCTGCTTCAAAAACAAACCAACTTTTGAATTTTTGATTAATATAAATACGATTCAACGTGTCCCTAACAACTTTGTTCAATAATAGTAATAATAATAATAATAATAATAATAATAATAATAATAATAATAATAGATACCCTAGGATTTCAACTGTAGCTTCATTAACAGGTGACCAAAGCTTGAAATGAATTGTCTGAACGTACTAATATATGATAAATCTTTAATCATTCGATTATTAATAAACTTACAAATTCATTCGCCAAAAATGATAAATATAAAATCGTAAAATTAGTTCCGGAGGATTATTGTGAAGAAGTGAAGCCATGCAAGAATGGGGCTGTCTGTATCAATTCAGTGCGGACTGGTTATGAATGCCTGTGTGGGGAAGGATTGGCTGGCAAAAACTGTGAACTAATCAGTAAATATTTTGCAAAATTATCCAAAATGGCACATCAATTTTCTGTTTAACTTTTCCAAATAAAGCTGGACCATGCGATGTTAGCAGATGTGAGAATGGAGGGATGTGCTCGATGAATGCAGAACAACACATCTGCACCTGTCCCGATTCTTTCTATGGAGATAGATGCCAATTTAGGAGTAGAGTTCTCATATTTTTTGTTTAATTAATAATAAATTTATGTTGTCAAGTTTGAAATTTGATAGTCATAACGATAAATTCTAACTAAAAGCACCTATTCAACATGAGTCATTTTGTTCAAGATTTTTTAATAAACAGTTGAAACATTCTCAAATCTTGTGTCAACCCTTTAAGTTTACATTTTTTAGATATATTTATATCGGCGGTCCTTCGAACCAAATTTAGGTCAGTGTACTTCAAATCCATGCAAGAACTTTGGCAGATGTGTCGACGAACGGGATGGCAGCTATACATGCATCTGTTCAGATATTTATGAAGGAGAACTTTGCGAATTCCACAGTTAATTAACAGTTTTTCATTTTTTATTTTAGTTTTTTTTAATTAAATTTGTAACTAATTGTGCTGTCTTTAATTGATTTTTTATCAGCGAAACGAAATTTACATTCAGTCAAATCATAATTGATTGGTTGGATGAATGATTGATTGATCGCTTGGTTGAATGAATGATTGATTGCTTGGTTGAATAAATAAATGATTGATTGGCTGATTGATTGATTGAAGCGATAATTTACAATTGAAGTTATTAATAAATATTGAAACATAACAATAATTATCAAGTTAATGGTTAGCAGTTGAGAAAGCAATGAGCAAATTCTTTTCTCCATTATTTCGTCATTTTCGTTATATTCTGCTACCAAAAAAATTTTTCCCTGAGTACAAATAAAATAAGGATAAAAATGTATTTAAATAATTCAAAAGACAAAAAAAATTTAGTAATTCAAAAATATTTTTGTAGAGCGCTGTTTGAATAACGTCTGCCAGAACAATGGGGTCTGTTACATGTTGGATGATGGCAACTACTACTGCGTCTGTCACAATCACTACTCTGGAAGAATATGCCAAATTAAAAGTTGATTTCAAAATATTATTATTTTATATCATTAAATTATTTTTATTATTATTTACGACGGTGTAACGGTTAATGTGCCTGACACTGATGTAGCAGTAGCCAGGTTCGAATGTGAAGAAATCCCCGCATATCACATGCAATGCTGTGATGTGTTGTGTTGGTTAATGGGTGTTTACACCAGTTGTGTTCCTTTGTTTATTCACCTTTTTTTATAGAAGCGCTAAAGAAAAATTTGTGGTAAATTAAATATCAAATAAAATGATTTTTGGTAAATAAAATTTACAAACTTGACAGAGTAATTAAACCTCGGTGTTAAAAACTGTTGAGTATAAGTTGGAATATAAGTTGGAAATACTCCGAATGACGAATAGTGAAATAGTATTTTGAATTACACGACTTCTTCTTCCTCTTCTTCTTTCTCGTGCCTTATCTTTTCATGACATTGGCGATCATCGACCTCCACGAAATCCGATCTTTAACACTTTGTAAGAGTTGAAATGTGGTGATATTCAACAAGTGACACAAGGACTTCACGAATGTTGTTCGTTGTTGACCGCGATCTCTTTTCCCTGCAATTTTTCCAGTAGTTGTTAGATTTTCCATTCTTTCCTTCCGCATGATGTGGCCAAAACACTTTAACTGCCCCCGTCGGATTATCTATAGTAATTTTCCCTCTTCATAACCGGACTGTTTTAATACATCCTCATTCGAAGTATGAGAGGTCCAAACAATTTTCATAATTCTCCTCAAAAACCTCATCTCAGCAGCGTTAATCTTTTTTTACATTTTTCTAGAAATTGTCCAGGACTCGGAGCCGTAAGTTAGCATAGGAAAAATGTAACATCCTAACAGTTTTAATTTTGTTGCTATTCTAATTTTACTGTTGGTGAGGATGTTTTTCATTTGAGAATATGCATCTCTCGCCATAGCTATCTTTCTATTGATATCCATATCCCATTTACTATCTGAGGTAATCAGACTTCCGAGATAATTGAAGCTGTTGACTTGTTTCACCTGTTTACCGTTAATGATTATGGAGCAGGTTGGGGCGATTTTGCTGTTACTGATAACCATGCACTCTGTTTTGTTGATGTTAACAATGAACTAACAATGAACTGACTCACAACAGGTGAGCTGGCAGACAGCTGTTCATCCTACCCTTGCAAGAATGGAGGCACATGCCTTGTTGTTGATGATGAGAACTTCCGCTGCATATGCAGACCACCATTTTACGGCGTCCATTGTTCCATAAAAAGTAAATTTTATTTCATGAAACTTTTTTAAATCCGCTCACAGAGTTGTTGATAGTAGTATGGCAACGCGATGGCATAATGGCTAAAGTGTCTAGCACTGATGCTGCAGTCATCGGGTTTGAAAGCGAGAAGAACCCCACCCATTATATACAATATACTACAATACAATACAATACAATATACTACAATTCAATACAATACAATATACTACAATACAATACAATATACTAAAACATTTTTCATACAAACAAAATTAATTAATAAATAATTAAATTTTTTTTTGCGAATAAATGGAATTTAAAAAAATGCATATGAAGTTTTAAGTGGAGGTTTATGAGTCAATCAACGATAATTCATTCCTACATTGGTCTACGTGACCCTGACCTATCATATTTACAATTTCGAAGTCAGCTTAAATCTTCTTTATCTGTGCAATAAACGTCCGTCTTATTAGTCTATGATTTAGTAGCGCTTCTGAGTTCCAACAATTAAAATGCCCTGTATATAAATTTCCGTAGTAATAATAATAATAATATCAATAATTGAAATAACTTTATTATTCATTTTCAAATATATTTACTTCACATCTACAATAAAAATTTAAATGAAAAAAAGTAGATGAATTAGTTTTTTTTTCTATAAATCGAAAATTATTTTTATTTTATTTCATTTATTATTTTTTATTATTTTTTATTTGTTTATTTTAAAACTTTATTATTCATTTTCAAATATATTTACAAAACATATAAATTATTTGTAAACAATTTTGAATGAAACCAAATCTGTCGGTTTTTGTTCTTATTTAAATTCCTTAACGACTGTTAAAAATAATTTTACTGAAAATTTTAATTTCACATCTACAATGAAAATTTAAATGAAAAAAAATAGATAAATTAGTTTATTTTTCCCATAATTCGGAAATTATTTTTATTTTTCATTTCTTCATTTCCAGGTGTGGAGGTCAACCCTTGCGCGTCTGATCCCTGCCAGAATGGGGGTGAGTGTGTGAGCTCGATCGATCGAAAAACGTTCGCCTGCCAATGTTCCCGGAATTATCTTGGACAATATTGCGAGTTAAGAAGTGTGTGTTGGTGTGTGTGTGTGTTGGTGTGTTGTGTGTGTGTGTGTGTGTGTGTGTGTGTTTAGTAATTGTTTCGCGTGAAAATGTTATGCTAAAAACACAAATAACTACCAGGTTTACACGTAAGTGCACGTCAAGCATTCGTTCGCTTGTTCGTTCGTTTGTTTCTCTGCTTGTTCGTTCATTCGTTCGTTCGCATATTTGTTGTTTCGTTTATTTGTTTTTGTTAACATTTTGCGAATATATAGAAATGCAATTATTATTGATAAAAATCACAGCATGTTCGGCGTTAGTTAACTTCTAATTTAACTTTTCGATTTTTCTAACGGTTGATCGTAAATCATTTTTAAGTTTCTTAAAAAAAAAAACAAAAATTTTGGTTTTGAAATAAAGAAACTTGAAAAGGATTTACAATCAACCGTTAGAAAAATCGAAAAGTTAAATTGAAAGTTAACTAACGCCGAACATGCCGTGATTTTCATCATTATTATATATAGAAAGAAGGCAGAGTTGATAAAAAAAAAGGTTAAAATGGCACAAACAGGTCAGCATACTTCTTAATAATCTGTGTAGGTAAGCAGTCAAGCGAGCATGATTTAGTAGATGCCTCATAACCTTTTTAATATAATCACCAGAACAAGTTAAAAAACTAGAAAATTATGAGATATCATGTAAATTGCAAGGAGTCAAAAACAACTCGAAAGAGTCGCATTTCGCATTAACACATTACGTTGAACAATATTATTTTTGTATAAAAATAAAAAAAAGTTATTCCACAAAATTGAAACTGTTTCAAATCTCCCGCCAATCTCAGACCCATGTCGAAGTGAGGGGTTAATTTGTAACGGCCATCCGTGCAGCTATGTCTTTCCTAACTCTTACAAGTGCTCCTGTGGTACTGGGTACTATGACAGTGAATGTCAGACTAAAAATGGTTAGGAATGGTTTTGCTAAGTGTTTTCATTGACTATAACGATCAATAATATAGAAAAATATAAAGAAATATTAATTTTTTATATATTTTTTTCTCTAATACACTCTGAACGTACAAAAATTTCTGACGCGTCTCATGATTTCCGAAACGTTCTTGAAATTTTTTTCATTAGTTTGTAACTATTAACTAGAGTTATGTTTTTATCAACCAAAAATGACCCATTACGACCCTAGTCTATTTTTTTACTTATTTTATTTAAACTTTTAAAAATCTTCAAAATCACAACTTACAACTGTGACTGTTTTATTGTATATAAAAAGTTTGAACTTGTAACCAAAATTTAAACAATGAAGTTAAAAAGTTATTTTCAATTAAATTTTGAACAAAAGAGAATGAATAAAATTTGTCATATTTTGTAATTTATAATTAACAACACATTCTACAGGTTGCTGTAAAGTTTCACACACAGCAAAGAATCTAATCCATGTCACAGTAGCGTTCCAACTGTTCATATTACTCATCAAGGAAGCCAAATTCTAGTTGGATTGATAAGAAATTGTTGCTATAATAAGCAGAACAAAGTTAAATTGTAGGTGAATTCCTAAATAAAAGTGTAAGTTAAAAAAATATTTTGAATATTTTGACAAAATGCTTGGATTTTTTAACGCATGGTTATTTTTATTTCACTAAAATTCAACATACACGTGTCTTGCTTTGGGGGACTTTTTTTTCTGAAGCAGTAACAATGAAATCGATCTATTTAAATTTGAGATGATCTGTTTCTTCAATTTGGACAACCAATCTAAAACAATAAACGATTATTTAAATAACTAGGAATAAATAAATAAATCTGATTATATATAATATAAAAATATTTTATATTTATTGTACCCATGAATTTGTATGTCTGTTTTTCATACTTGCGTGTTAAAGTTTTGAAAAATTGTGGCCTTTATTATATATGGGTGACGGGATGTTGGAATGGTTAAAGCGCCTGGTCACCGGGTTTGACTGCAAAGTCATCCACGCATATACAATGTTCAATAGGTGTGACGAGTTGATACGATGGGATGACTATTTCCTCATCAGCTTAAGCATCGTTCCCACTTCTAGACTTCTTTAAAAAATTATTATGGGTTGATATTTGTAGGTGGTAAAAAAATTGAAACAAACAACAGAGAATCCTGACCTGAGTGACACTTTACAAATTTCAAACAGCAAGTGGCAGTTCTTTTTAGCCATGGTTAGTCTGTATTTCAAAATTTTTTGTGTTTTCGTTCGTTCGTATCAAATCAATCAATCAATCAATTAATCGATTGATCAACTACTGTAATTTTTATAGCGCATATTTCGAAAGTTGAACTTTCACAGTTTAAAAACGCATGTCATAAGTGTAAATATACGTTCGAAGCTAAATAACAAACCACACCTTAACATTATTAGAACAATTTGGTTTAGAAAACTTGTAACAAACCATCAAACCAGTTTAATCTTTCACCAGTTGATGAATTTTTTGTTCCTACAGGAAATTCTCAGACGTCTCAATTTTGAAGTGACTTCTTTAATGTCAAGGTCGATCACGATCTTAACTCTCTTACAGCAGTCAAGATGACTCCAAATAAAATTATTTTTGAAAGGAGTTTAACTTTAAAATTTAAATTTCAATAAAATAAATAAAATCAAAATCTAACATAGATAAAATCTGGAAAAATTATACATGCTGAGCATTTATTTAAAATATAAAAACGCTAAAATATTTAATTCTAAAACAATCTTAAAACAAAATTGTATGAGAGCAAATCTTAAAATGAAAAAACGAATTTTTTAAAATTGCTCAAATTTAGCAAAACTAAAAAAACACACACATACATACATATACACATACATACACACACACATACATACATGCTAATACCTTGGAGAGCCGGCAGATGTTTGGCGTGGGATGTTACGGTCCCTGGCACCCTCGCCGAACGATACGTAAACCTGACAAGTAAAGAATGCGGTTTGGCCGCGGCCAGGGCAGCGGACGAGAAAATGAAAAAATATGGGAACGCCCTCTCCTCGATGGAATTCTTGCCAATATGCATCGAGGTTCTTGGCCCGATGGACCCCAACACCCTTAAATTTCTTAAGGAAATATGCAAAATGATCAGCGTCAGATCAGGCGACAGCAGGGAACTGTTTTTCGCAACTAACCACATTTCGTGCTTGTTGCAGCGGTTCCTGCGTGTCTGTGTGCTTGAAAATAACCAACTCAATGCCGACATGTGCAATTAACGACAAATCAAAGTGTTAATCCATTTGTTCCTTGATGTTTGACGGTTCAGTGTCACTCATCATGTTTTGGTTTTAATATACATACATACATACATACAATCATGCATACATACAACGCCACATAAACACATCTTTCAAATTAGTCATTAAGAGAGGTAGAAATTGATTAACGCATTAAATCTAAAATTCCAGATATCTCATATCTACCACCAACGGTCCATGTCTTATCAACGATATTGGCTATTATAGTCATTTTTAGTAATCTCGATTGAATATTTATTAAAGTTATACTTCCAAGCTTTACACTTTCATATCTGATTTTCAACTTTTCCTTTTTCTAAACATACATTTTCAAAATTTCGTTGGAATTAATAAAAATAAAATAAAAACTCACACAAACAAACTTAACACACACGCGCACACACACACACACACACACACACACATATATATATATATATATATATATAAACAAAACAACTTTTACGTACAAATCTCGCATAACCAAATACACGCACACAACACAAACAAACCTAAAACACACACACAAACCAACTTTTACATACAAATCCCGCACAACCAAATACACACACACAAACAAACCCACGCACACAAACAAATTCACAATTTTGTTGACCATCAGCACAATCACTGACGTCCACACACAGTTCTTGAATATGCAAACACGTGAAGATGACGACGACGATGCTAATGATGATGATAACGATTAACGCAACCACAACAATCATGGTAACGATGATGACAGTGATGATAATGAGTAAATAACTTCATCATCACCACCACCCCCACAGTCGCCATCATCGCTACTTCATCGT